ATAGAGATTTATCCACCTTTCAAATGACTGAGGCCTTTCCTGCAATCTATTGGGATCGTGATGTCGGTACGCGCGGCGGGAATGCTTCGTAACCTACGTGTTAAATTACGTATAAATTCAAAGCGTTTCGGACGATCAGAGGAAAGCATTCGTAGTAAACGGAGACCTATGACTTTAAAGTGTTGTACATGTGTGATACCGTTTTGGTAGACTGTGGCAGATTACAGTACTCTAGGTCAAAGGATAATGGTGGTAATGATCGAGGATTGTGTGGAAAACCCAGGAGAAAATGGGAAAACCCAAGCGTGAATGGGTGGTAAGAGTTGTTTTTCTCAAACAAATCCTTCTAATTTTCGGCGGGCCGTTGCAATCGCTACTTTTGAGATATACAGCTGAACATTTACAGGTTACCTAAGTAATTTTAAAATGTTATTCAGTTTCAGCTCGTGCTAAAAAAAATTTTCAAAAGCGAACTGTTTTTGTGTTTACAAAAAGATGATCACGTGATCAACTAATGCAAAAGGGCTATTCGCCATCTCACATCTCCCATAATACACCTTCTTTGCCCACCAAAAGTTTGCTTAAGTATTGTCTTTTATTTCTCTTGGGACGACTGTAATACCCAGGTTATGCAAAGTTTTGGTGGCAAACAAGGTGTATTATGAGGCATGAGCAAATGGCGAATTACTAGAAAATTGAGACACCAGGAAGAGTGTATTTTGGGAGTTAAGTTTACTTGCTATAGGGCAGCAAAATTCAGCTGAGCTAAGTCTTAGAAGTCTGGTTTCGTCTAACGGTTGCAGGATCCATGCGGCACATCCCCAGCCAAAAATTTCTAAGGTTCAGTTCAGACGCCGAACTTTAAATCAGTGCGCCAACTTGGGCAATGATGGGATCTTACATCTTTTGTAAACAAGGCCAACTACGCGTTATGAAAATCAAAAGTTTATTTTGGTTGGTTTCCATGGTGAATAATAAGTTCCAAACAAAAGGCGATCTTTGAAACCTAAGTTAAACGCATTACTGTAAGGAATCGAGCACAATGTAAATCTGTTTTGTGTCATGCGCAATTGTGTCTTGCTAAAAACCAGTGTCTGATTGACCAATGAAAAGTCTTATTTTGAATGGTTTCTATAGAGACAAATTGCATTGTTCTTTGGAGTGAAGCTGATTACTAATTACTAATTAATTTATCAAATGGTTTGTTATTTGGTTGGTATAAAATCTAATTACATTACTAACTGGTAGGGTGAACTTAACCAATTATATGTCCTGTTTTTGCCTCGTTTCCATAGCGAACAAAACATTACAATCAGCTGAATCCAGTGGCGAGGAAGATATTCCGTACTTTGCATGGAATTAAACCAATAAAATGCTATGTTTTGTTGAGTTTCTATAGAAAATAATTACTTAAACAATAAATAGATTGTCTTTATTTTCTTACAGTCCTGGCCGATATACTTATTACACTTACATTTTAATCAAACATCTCCTGACCGACAGAACTGAGAGCGCGATGGAGCAAAGTCAAGGTACTGCTGCTGTAGTTTAAAAATGCTGATATTTTTTTCAGTTCCTTCTTATATTCCTCGCTTAACGCTTAAGTATATCCAAACGGAACAACGCATTCCATCACACTGAAATTTAAAGAAAATATTATAATATATACGTTGAACGGCGATTTTGCGTCCCAGAAAAAAAACCGAAGTTCAAATGTCATTTCAAATACATAATGTACGCTCCAGGAGTTCTTTTAAATTGGTTCAAATGGTGCATAGCTTGCAACACACACAAAAAAATACGTTTTTCTTTTGAAGAAAATATCGAAGTTTTTTGCTTTAATAGAATAGTGAGATAACGTTTAAAAAATCAACATTTGGACATCCAGTGAGACACAGTGGAGACATTGGGCTTTCTCGTGTTTGACGTCTTGAAAAGCAGAACATGACTTAAAAGTTTTTTAAAAGAGACCTTTCCTGAACATTACTAGATGTCTCTCCAGTTTGTTTGAAAATAAAGATTTTTTTTTGTGATTTAGTAACACTAGCAGGGGACGCAACTAAACCCTTCTCAAATCGCTTTTTCGTCAGTATCCACTGTGCCATCCCTCTCTAGAGTAGAAAATTACTTGGTTGTTTCTTTTTATCGTTTTCTTTGAAATGTGGTCGCTAACTGTGGAGCTGTTTTTTTTCTTCAGAAATTCAACAACAGTACCCGCCTCCTTCAAGATCCATGGGATGGCGGCTTCCCCAACCAGTGTCGTGCTATATTCCACAAGTACGATGGTAAAATTGTTTAACTGGAGTAATAGACAATTCTAGGTAGAAACAAAAATTAAAAGAGATATTTTCTCTTTTAGGACTTACAGCGTTCCATTTCTTCATGCAAATACACCTAACAGTGGAAAACAAGTAACTTTGCTAGAGAAAGCTCGCCGCTTACGGCCCCAATGCCACATCTGCTTCAAGACTTTCTCCAAATCTGGAGCATTGAAGGTACGTACTTTAAATAGTTGTGTCCTTGTTTTTAACATTTATATAAGTGCCGTTACAACCAAGCACTAGGTTTTCTCAAGGACACCTAGGGACCCGCAGACAGGGAGTGTGAGGCAAGGGGGGAGGGGAGGGGATAGTTTTTGGCCTCTTCTGCTGCATGATGCCAAACAGTAGGAGCGTATATTTTGCTCGTTGGAAGAAAGCCTCACTCCCCCGACTGCTATAAACCCCGACACCCGCCCCGCTAGGTACATATCCAAGATGGCCGCCCTTACCGGTAGGCGATCGATCTTAACAATCGTACAAAAACATAGGGGACTGTGTCTACCCCAGTGTTTTTATGCAGAGATTGCTGATTTGATACAAGTTACTGTTTTCTTTGTCTTAAACAAGGTCAGAGTTTCGTACCCTCAGGGACCCCCCAATAAAGTACAAAGATGTATTATGTATGTTTTTGTTTTCCAGGTGCACATGCGAGTTCACAGTGGTGAAAAGCCGTTTCAGTGTCGTTTCTGTCCTAAAGCTTTCGCTCAATCCGGGAACCTTATTGCGCATGAGCGGATCCACACAGGAGAAAAGCCATATCAGTGTGAAAAGTGCGGGAAACGTTTCACCCAGTCCTCGGCGTACAAGAATCACGTGTACATACATATCAAACTAGGTTTGAACGAGGTCAATGAGACTGAAAACCCGTCCAATAATTCCAATCAATTTGCTTAATTTCACGCGGGAGAAATTGTGAAAGGCTTGCAAGCAATTGGTCCTCAATAGCATTGAGAAATGAAGTATGATCAAATTTTAAGCTTTTTTTGTTGTATTTACAGTTTCCCTGATGTTGTGATCACTTGTTTCTCAACAACGCTAAAATAAAGGCATAGCTAAATGTAATATCAAACTTGATTGAAAACACTGAATTTAGCTTTCCCTCCAATAGCCTCCCCAAGTGGCCTTTATTGTCTCGTCACGCAACGCTCGCAGAGGAGCCTTACGTGACGAGATATAGCAGCAACATGGGAGACTAACCTTCCAATAATTCAAAGTGCACTTACGGAAATAGAGTAGAGTAGTAGTAGAGTTTTAAAAGTAAAGTTAGTTTTATGCGCAGTTAATCGTCTCGTCAAGAAAACTGCGCAATATATACTCTTAAATTATTAATTATCAGGGGCACTCAACGGGAAATTTTGAGAAAAAGACCTAAAAACAACAACAAAGCCTGAATAAAGTTTTCTGAGACTATTTTAAGCATTTTGGGAGATTGCTGGAAAAAAATTATCTGCTCCTCACTCCCAGCAAGACTGATGGAATAGTTCCCAGCCAGCAACCTTACAACCTGTAACCTGACTTACTGGGAAGTTTCATAGGGCACAATTCAGATCTTGAGTGGTAAGTAACCCATACAAGTAACCCGTAGCGGCTATTCTAGACTTCACATCCCCTCTGACACCCTGAATTATCTTTTTCCCAGCAACACTTTCCTTCCAAGGACTATTATTTCTTCCACATCTCCCAGCCAGCAAAAATGTGCCTGAAGAACAGATATTTTGAGGAACAGATCCATTGGGTGCCCCTGAATTATTATGAGAGGCAATTACATGTACAATGAAAGAATGACTTTATTTCAAGTGAAATTGCGCGTACAAAAATATTCCTAGTTCTCATCACTACTAATAATTTGTAAATGGATAAGAAAATGAACACTAAGATACAAAAATATTGAAAATTTCGTCAACTATATAAAGATTATTCATGGACAATTAGTAGTGACAAATTTGAGTTCTGAGTGTCGAAAAAATTACATTGCTTTAACACATCCCATAAATTAAGAAAATTGGGAGTATTTGTTAATTGACAAGAAAAGAAAAAACAGAATAATTCACTTCGAAAGGCATCCACTTTCAACTATAAATACAATACAAGCAAGCCTAAATAAATATCCTGTAACTACACTATCCTTCAGTTATTGTTTGAGTCAGTTAATCTACTACTATTTACATGAAATATTGTTTAAATCTACTACAATTAGCTTTGATATTTAAAAATGCTCCATTCTACAAAAAATATTTCTTGGTGTTTAACCATTTAACTCGCTAAAGAACACCTTAATCTTCGTCGAAAGAGTGAACGTTTAAGCCAAGGGGTCTCTAATAGGTTACTCGCCCCAGTCCCTACTCATTTTAAGGCCTTTAACTCTTTGTTCTTCTTTCTGATTTCTTCCTCGAGATAGTCTACTTTGTTCAACAGATTGTCTTTGCGCTGTTCAGCACTGTTGAGCTGTTGTCGCAAGACCTGTAACCTGTCGTCTGATATATTACTATCCTTTTCCATTTCGTTTATGGTGAAATTCAGGTCAGACTCAGTTTTCAACACTTGGGCCAACTCAGAATTGAGGGAGTCCACGCGTCCTTCTAGATCGTTGATTTGCCTCTCAAGAAGTTCCTTCGGTGATTTCATACCTGTTTTGACGCCCGCCGTACGAGACTTGGGTCTAGATTGGAAATGGCAATGACATCAGTTGTAGAATTTCGTACTGGTACAATCAAAGGAGCCCATAACCGAGGGAGAGCAACTCCCATACTTGGCCTACGCCACGGTGTTTTCAACGACCGGTTTATTTTTAGATACATTTTAGAGCAGTTTTTTTCCGCCAAATAGAGGCTCCCCTCCGTCTATGAGGGTAATCGAAGTACAAGATATCAAAACAAACGAAAACTAAACGTCTTTTAAAGGTCAAAAATCACGTGCCATGGTTTTGCTAACCGCTCTGTGGGACTTAAAAGATATGCTAAAATGGTCGGTGACAAAGCCGTGACACGAGTAAAAGGAAGTTGTTGGCTCCTGACAATCCAGATTTTTCTCACTCTACCTTCAGAGAACTCTTTGTTAAGAGGTAGTTTCCGTATTACCCATCGTACCTATTATTTTCCGGAAATCGATGAATAAACGGATCGAGACGACCAAAAAGGAGAATGAATAAACTAATGAACGAATGAATGAATGAGTGAGCGAGTAAAGGAAAAAGAACTAATGGGAACAGCCTTCCTAACTTCGAATTAACTTTCAGTAAATGCCAGAAAATTCACAGACCGATACACGTCTGAAGGGCGAAGAAAAATTGCGTATCAAATAGTTCAAAACTCACCTCTTCTCCTCTCCAGTCTTCTCGCCTCTTAGCTCTTTGAGCCTCGTCATGGCGAATTCCTCTTTCCTCGAAGACGGCGCATGTGCAGATGAGAGGTACTCCTTCAGTTTGGCACGGGTGAGGAATGCGTTCTTCCTAGCAAGACGTTCTGTGACTCCCTGAAGGATAATAGACAGAAAACTGATAAGCCTACATAATTGCGTACCACAAATATTATCCAAAATTAAGCTAAGAAATATTGATATTGATCATATGTAAAAGCTAACATACTTGTATCGAAAAGTCAGCATCGACTGGACTTGACACCTTAATGTTCACCAGTTCTCCCACTACATTGACACGCTCGGTCATTGACCTCGCCGGCTTGAAAGCCGCCTCAAGCGGATTGGCGCTTGACACATTACCCACAAGTCCTTGAGCAGTGGGTGTGTTCCGGGAGCGCGCGAAGAACAAGTCTTGACAACAAATACGGAACGCCTGGGAAATCAAGAAAACAATATATCAATAAAGAAAGGCAGAAAATGTCACACTAGGGATCAGAGATAATACACTAAGACCGAGGAAAAGAAAACGTTGGACAATAGTAGTAAGGTAAAACAAAACAAGAAATCGGACTTCAGTTGAAAATGTGCCACCCAGTCAACAAAAACATTATAAGAACTTCTCTCAGCTTAAAATGGTTAAAGAAAGAACATAATCAAACAATAGTAAGAAAAAGCCAACTACAAGGACACTAACTTCCATAGCGCTTTGAGGAACAGTTTATGCAAGGGACAACCTTTTTGGAACAGAAAACTAACTGTCGTCAGAGAATCAAAAATCCCATTTTTAGAGTATAATTTTGGCTCACCAATTTTCAGGGACTGCTTTGGTAGATTAAATTCGCAATAAAAACTACAGGTGACATCTCTCTCTCTCTCATAACGGACACCTCTTTAAGACGGAGACCTCTGTAAAACGAACGCCTAGAGTTGGTCCCCGCCTTTCTTTATTCCCTTTATTTGACATCACTCTAAGACGGGACACTTACTGTGGCGGTCCCAAAGGTTTCCGAATTACAAAGAGTTGATTGTATCTAAAAAACAAAGTTCCCTGAAAACGCCGTGAAACATAAATTAACATGGATAAAAAGTTACTACCTTGTAGAATTCTCTCAGGAAAAGTGGGTTCTGATCGTCAACGAGATCATCAATCTTTATGTGCGATAAGGCATGCATAATCACTACCAAGAAGTCACCAACGGACTCCATTCTTTCTTGTCGCACAAACAACACCCTGCGCGCATGCTCGTAGAAAAATGAATTCCGGAAGGCGTTTCGTTCGTAATTGTTTGGAGGCAAATTAGAAGCAAGGAGCAACGTCACTTCCGGTGTGTCCATGGCTTTTTGCAACATCTGAGTGATAAAAACTCCGAAGCGATAGACGACAAAGTTCGCCGGGCTCAGTTCATTGATGTCCACAGGTACCAAGTCTCCCCGGCAGTACCACTGAGCGTCTTTGATATCAATGTAGGGCCGCCCGCCTTTTGCCCCAGCTACTCCTCCCTCGCCAATGTTATTTTTCAACATGTTTTCAATCTCATTTACGCTGTCGAAGATTGGGGAACCAATCAGCATTGAGACCCAGTCTTGTTCTGATACGCCTGCAGGCAGTCCAGCAGTGATTACTGGTGTAGCGCCTGCGCTAACTTGGCTATCCGCTGAGGTAAGTAAGCTTTCTGTGATGGGGAGCTCGTCTAAAGGCAAGGTTAAAGATTGACAATTTAATCTTCTGAGAACTGTTTAAAATTTAAAACAAAAATCAGCAGCAGGACAGTAACTTAATGTTTCGAGGTCTTCATTTCATCATTATCAAAAGGTAGGAAATTATCATGATTTGTAGACATATGTGCACAGAAAAGGAAAGTGTTAACAAAGGGAAAAGTGCAAAGTAAATTTAACTACATAGCATGGAACTGCACACTGTTTCTCTAATCCTCTACTGATTATTGTGTATTGTTAGTGTTCATTACCTGTTGCCTTCTTTCGTGTGTCCGAGGGAGCCCTTGGAACAGCTGGCGTGCTTGCTTTTAGAAGCTCCACTCCTTCTTTTTGTAATGCCGTCATTTCTTCTCTTTCTTTCTGCTCAGCAACCTCCGTTTCAACCTTAGCTGCTGCCTTGATCTTCTTCATTTCGTCGTCTTTCTTTTTCCTTCTTCTTGCCTCAAGTTTCTCTCGGAGAGCAGCCTTTGTTCGGTCTTGTTCTTTCTTTAGGTTTGCTTCGAATTTAGCCATATTTTCCTCGTGCTCCTTCATAAGTTTCTAAACATCACAAAAACAACGAAAATTGTATTAAAGAGAGCTTCTAAAAAAATTTCGCCAGACCTTCTCTTGTTTTTTTTTCTTCCACTTGTTCTTCACCTGTACAATAGCCCACTTAGCTTATTGCACTGTGTCTTTTACTAAGCATTATAATGCATGAAAACGGATAAAAACGAATCATTGCTGAAACATCTCGTCCTCCCTTAATCCACCTCTTCTCTACCTTCCCCTTCTCCAGCGGTCCCCTACCAAGCATTTAGAGTCCCGGCTTTCCCTCCTCTGACTCGTTTATTATTAAACCATACAGTTACATACCTATGACCCATACATTCATCTCTACAGTTACCCCAAGCCGTCCCTTAAAGAGCCCTTAAACTGACTTTTCTCCTCCCCTGCCCATTCATTCAACTCTACTGTTCATCCCTGCACCACTTCTGAGTGGACCTATTTACTGACCTCCTTTTCGTCTTCTGTCATTCCTCTCTGAGCCATCGCCAGTTGCTTAGCAGCGTCTGCTTCCTGTGCCGCCTTCATCCGTTTAGCAGCTCTCTCCGCCTCTCTGTCCGCAAGTCTCAGTTCCTCGCGCTCTCTTTCTTTCTCCAGCTCAGCCTCAAGGCGCCTGAAAGAGACATTTCACAACGAAGTTAGCTGAAGTTTATTTTCTTCGTCCCGTAGGATACGTAAAGCATTGTTGCTACTAATCATTAAACCAATCATTTGTTTTTAAAAGTAACACATTCAGACTGTTATTTCTTACTTGACTTCTTCGTCCATTTTCCTCTTTTGTTCCTCGCTCTGCTGTTGCCGTTCAGCCTTTATTCTGTTGATCTTCTCCGCCATTTCAAACATGGTTTGGTCGCGATATTCTTTGGCTGCTTGTGAGGCACGCTCGGCTTCCTCCGCGTAGTTTTTGATCAACTCCTACCGTACAACGGAAATACAAGAATGGCCTTATTATACATTGTGTTCCACGGGACAGCACGGCACAGTGGGCGCAGAAACAGAATCAGTTTAAAGCTCAAGAGGATATGTAGCCCGTGAAAAGCGTCATAAACTATGTAACCATTGTTCATTGAGGCAAACATGTAACACATACAAAGAGCATGAAACATGCAACTCGTGATGATGCGAAGGAAAAGCGCAAAAGTTTTAGTCAAGCAAGGGTCTGTGGTGTGTCACCACGCAAGTGAAGCAAACGAGACTTCCATTTTAACACGGAGCACAAGGGCGTTGTCTTGGACTTCAATAAGTGAAAGCAATGAAGACTGGAGGCATAACAGGCAGACAAAACAAAACACTTTTTTAAAAGAAATATTCATACCTCTTCAGTTGAAAGTTCGCTCATGGTACCAGCGAGTTCCTGCAGCTGTCTTTCTCGAAGTTCGAGTCTGGCATGCGCGTGTTTGATCTCCAAAGAAGGTAAGGTATCCATTTCGGCTTGGGCCATTTTTTGTTGAGTTTCCGCGTCAAACTGGGCGAGTTGTTTCTGTTTGATGATGGAAGAAAATGACTTTGAATGACTTTGAAGAAAATAACTTTGAAATGAAACAAAACTGTAAATGAACAAAGTCTCAAAGCTTTTTAAAGTACAATTTTCTGTAAACAAGTTTCGGCTTAAGAAAGTCTTAACAATAAAAGTCAAAAGATTACACTTCGGATTTCGTGAACATGGAAAAGAACTACAAACCGAAACAGTACGTTAAATACCTTATGCTGTAACTTAAGTTCAGCCTTCTTCTGAGATAGTTCTGCGGTGCTCATCGAGTTGGACTTCGCAATCAGCTCCATGAATTCCTAAAGGTAAATGTTTAGTTTAATAGAACTAAGCGCTGTACAGCTTCTTGCATATCAAACATATGATTATCTTTGAGTGAAACTTAAGTCCACGATACATGACGTATTTCTCACCTTTTCTTGTTGAGCCACCACTTCTTCTCTCTCCAGTTGGCGATTCTCGGCCATTTGAGCCCGCGCTTCGGCCTTGGCAGCGTCAATCTCCCTGTTAAACTGTTCCTCAAGCTTCACCCTCTCATGCATGTGCCTCTGTTGTAACACCTGGTAAATAGTACTCCCTGCCTGCTCACTGTCCAGGCTTTGAACCGCATTAATCAGGGCTGACTTCTGAGCTTCGCGAATCTAAGATTGAACAAAGAAGAGTTAAAACAGCTATATCAATGAAGTTTTCTATATTTTTGTCATCCCTGTCGTTTTTTTTTTTTTTTTTTTTGGGGGGGGGGGGGGGGGGGGGGCAGGGGGGGGGGGGTGGGGAAAAATAATTAAACTTCTTCCGCGGAGGTTCCCCTTTCTCGATTGTGGGCCGGGAAACAAACAAAGCCCGGGGGGGTGGGCAAGAAACAGGGTGAAAGTTTAAAAAGTTTTTTCTTTATTTTTTTCAGATTTTATCCTTTTATTTTTCACTTTACACGTCTCTGTCTTCCCCCCTCCCTCTCCTCTCGCGCTCCTCTCCCCATTTTGGTGTGGCTGCTTTTAGCAGCTTGGCTTGCTCATATCTCGCTAAGCAGTGTTTTTATCTATATTAATATAATTGTTTTTTTGTTTTTGGGTTACGTTTTTGTTTTTTTTTTTTTTTTTTTTTTGGGGGGGGGGGGGGGGGGGGGTCGAGGGGTGGGCGATAGTAGAATATAATTTAACCTTCTACGCAGACGTTACGCATTCTCGATCGTTGTGCCGGAATCAAACCAACGTCTGCGTGGTAGGCAAGATACAAGGTGAAATTTTCAATAACTTTTTCTTTCAATTTTGACAGTATTCACCTTGTCATCTTCGACTTTCTGTCTCTGGTCCTGTTGGTTCATCGTTTCCTTTGCCATCTCAGCTTTGTGTCTTTGTTGTAGAGCAGCTGCCTTGCGCTTCTTTCTCTCAGCAATCTTGTCACCCAGTGAAGCTAACTGTCGCTGCTTCTCAACTTCCATGCTGCGTGAAAGGAACTCCAATTCTTGTTTGTGCTGTTCAAGCAACATGTCTGCTTGTTCTTGTGACAAGTCCTCCCGCTTGCGTGACATCTCCTTTTGAAAGGTCTCCTTCTTTGCTTCGATCAGCTACACAATAACAAATAAATTAGTCACGAAAGTGATCTTCTAAAGTGTTGCAAGTTTTGCCAGGCGTAAATCGGATTTAAGTAAGGTAAAAAAGCCACCGGAAGCGTGTTACTTTGGGATATAAAACACGAGGCATGGAAAAATGTAAATCGGGGTGATTGCAGATTGATTTAACACTTTACTCGTTGTTAAATGCAGCTTTTTATCACTAAGGATATGGTATTCACGCCACCGTCACAACAGTCATCTCTTTCGTATCTGTCGTGAACGATTAAGCGGATTTCTCCTTACGCCAGTCGTTCAAGCTGTTAACCCACCTTGAGTTTTTGTTCCTCAATCTGATCAACAACTTGATGGCCGCCAGACATTTCTTCGTTCTTAAGCTCTTCCTGTAAGGCGATCATCTCCTCCGCCTGTTTTACTTCCAGAGCTGTTTGCTGCTCAATCTGCTGTTCAGCCAGACGCTCTAGTTCTTTGTTCACCTCTTCTGATACTTGTGCGTCTGCTGCTTCTAACACCTGAAGAGTGGCTTGATCACCGGATAACTCAGCCTGATAGACGAGAGAATATAGTCAACTCTATTCCCCTCTCCAGAACCTCAAGGAGAATGGGTACGAGCTTTCAGCTTAACGATTTCTAGGATAATTTTGGTAGACTAGCGTTACTTATGATTGGTCATTGGTTGCCTTGAATACCATCGACCAATCACAACCAAAGCTTGTCCACCCAAAAAATCTTAGAAATCACTGTACCAAAAGCTTGTACCCATTCTTCTTAGAGTTTCTGAAGTGGGGAATAGACAAATCATTACATAAGTCGTTTGGATCATTATCAGACAAAAATATGAAGAAAGGACCGCGCTGAGCGAAGTTGCGAGAACCAGCTAAACAATATCGCAGCTCATTGCATTCAATGCTAAAAGAAATTTTCAAAACTTTGTATTGTTCCTTTGATAATCTACCTGTTTCTTGGCCATCTCTTTGAGTTCCTTCTTCATAGCTTGTTCCTTTCTCATCTCCTCCTTCAGCCGTCTTCTAGCCGCAAGTTTGGCTGCCAGCACAGCTCTGCTGTGTTTCTGCATATCGTTATACCGTTCTTTCATTTCTTCTGCTTCTTCCAAGTATTTGGCAACGATCTGCTTTTGTTCTTCTTCAGTCATCTCAGTTTTCTTCAGCAGATTTTGTACAACCTTGGAGAAAAGAGAGAAAGAAAAGCATCTTAACCAAAATTCAAATTGCGTCTTGCGTAACTGTAATAGTAGAAATGGTGAGAGTAGCAGGTGCGTGGGACAAATGAAAAACTGAGAGCCAAATGGAAATGAAGCCTATCCGGACCAGACTGACTGATCCATAGCCGTCTTTCATTTGTCTCGAATTTTTAAAGTATCAAAGAGACGGGCAGAGATGTGCAAGCAGTGAGAGAGGGTTCGGGGATGACTCTCTACCTCCTACCTCTCGAGGAAAAAAAAGCCAAATCAGTTTTGTTTATACCCGCGACGTCCAAACGAAGGAAATGTAAGATTAAATTCAGACCTGTTTTCGTTTCGTGTCTTCCTGTTCAGCCTCCACTTCAGCCAAAACAGCAAGCAATGCTGCCTCTTCTCTGCGCATGTCTGCGTTCTCTCTCTGTTCCAGTGCCTCCAGAATCTCAGCTTCCTCAGGGGACCCGGGTTTCACGTGTTTTAGCTCCTCTTTCAGTTCCTCTTCAGTCTTTTTGGATCTCTTACGTTCCTTGCGTTCCTTCATCTTCTCCTTCATGTTGACTCTTCTGGAAGCTGCTCGTGAGTGAAGCTAAACAAATCAAAACAAAACAAAAAACTAAGCATAAAAACCCTCTTCCCAAAAGACAGTGCTGAACTACCGTGATGATTTGATTTAGCCAATAAGCGAAAACAGAGTGCAAGACTGGAAAGAGACGTTCGCGAACTTCGCGCATGAGACTCTTACGCTACGCTGGACCGAAAACCGATTGTTTTGCAGTCTAAAATGAAAGTTACTGAACAATTCTTTCCTGTGGTACTGTCTACTCTGCCCTAAAATGGGGTTCTAATTTTTAGTCGATGGATGAAATCGGTATGTGTGACCATACAAGAGAAAGGTCTTTAGCAGTCAGCTAAAGTGTTACTTAAATGTCTGCGTACAATTCACGCAGAGTGAGCATGTCAGTGAAAACAACTGAGTAGTTCTTTCCTAACTGCTTGTGTTTCCTTACCTCTCTGACCTCTTCAAAAGCACCCTCGATCTCTTCTGGAGCCACTGACAAGTTCATGGCTCGAACACGAGCTTCCATCTCTTTATCAAACGCCTCCCGCCTTCCAGACTCCATCTCCTCTCTTTCCCGCTCACTCTCCTGCTCATACGCCAACGCCAATTCAGCCAATAGTTTTTCTTGTTGCTGAGCCAATAAAATCAACTCTTTATCAAGTTCGTCTTCATCCGGGAGATCGAGATCGACAACGTCACTGACTCCTGCTGCGCGGGCTTCCTCCTTGTGGCGGCTAAAACAGCGGGAAAAATCAGACAGTTATAAAAGAATTACTTAGCTTGCAAATAGTTTTTCTTGTAAATCCTTAAAAGTAAGTAAAACACGACTAAAAGACATACTTGAAAAGTTCTTTCTTGCGTCTCTTTCTCTCTTCTTTCAAAAGTTTTCTGACATCTCGCAACTTCTTCTGTTTCTGTTGTTCAATATTGTCCTGTGCAGCCGCCATCTTGTCTGAGTATTCCTTTATCAGTGCTTCTTTCTCATCTTCGTTCTCGGCTTTTCGTAATCTCTCTTTCAGCTCCTCCTGAAATAGTTTAAAGTAAAGTATGCGTCATCCCTGGATCAGTTAAACAAATTTTCCTCTGTGTCTGCTCAGTTAAAGATCACAGATGTTGTGAAAATGTGGGATAAAACACGAGTTCCGAAGTATTTTTCTGTTATCAAGACAAACACAGACTTATGATTTAACACAATACCCTTACAGCACCGGTAACAACGAGCTTTACCTGTAAATCAGCGACAGCTTTGCTCTTCCTCTCCTCATACGCCTGTATAACCTCAGATATCACCTTTATTTCATTCGTCCTGAGTTCATTCTCCAACTGTGCGCATTCAAGCGTATGCTTCTCCATAAGGTTCTTTGTAATCTCTTTTCGCTTCTCTTCTGTCAGCCCGCCCGATGCGGCGATTTCAGCGATGTTTACAGCCTCGGAGCTGAAACGTCATAGCTGATGCCTGTTGAGTTCTCTCAGAGGTAACGCTTGTTGGGGACATCAACAAGGTAGGTCCTAAATAACACAAAATAAGACCAAATTTGTCTTTCCACTGTAAAAGGTGGCCAAAATTTCTAAATTTCATTTGTAAAATGCTTAAAACAAATAGTACCATGTGAAAGTTTTTAAGAGGTTTCATTTGAATGGCACCATTACAAGACAGTCTCTCTCTGGAAGTGAAAGGCTTGAGCGAATTCACCCTAGCCCTAACCTTTGCTCCAAAGAATACGTGTGACATTCTGGACAGATAGCCAAACACATATGTCACGTGTTTTTCATACTACAGACTGCAAAATACACTAGAGATAACTCGAATGAGACACGATCTAACTAGACTTCAAAACAGTCATGTTTTCCTCGATGCTCGCTGGGCAAATAATTTTATAAAAACTGTTTGCGGTTTAGAATCCTACATACCAAGAGCAGTGACTCTGTCAGTTCCACTGCCACCAGCGGCAGCTCCACCGGCGCTAATGACATCAAACTTAGCACCGCCGCCAAGCACAGCGTATCCACCTCCGACAACCTGTCCAGCGGAGTTCATTAATACTGGCATGCCCTCTTCCAACAAGCGGATCAGGCGCTGAAGAAGTGGCAACAGCTCTCTGTTGGACTCCGGTAAAGGAAGATCATCACCGTAAATACCAGGCAATATGACTTCATATTCACCGGCGATCACTGCGCCTCCTGTTAGGATAAGCTGGATACAAAAAAAGGAAATAAAATTAGCAATAATTGCTGACCTTTCTGATCCTGGCCAACACGATTACCAAAAAACTTCTTGTTTTCTTGAATTTTGGTATTAAAACCTGCGTCTAGTGTAGTGTAAAAAGGTTATCTCACCCCAACATTTAACACTGACCACTAAGTAATATATGCTACTGCTTTTTACAGGGAATATAACAAACATGTCTACCTTAGCTTCCAAAGCGGAGATCTCAGCTTTGTTTCTGACGTATTCAAGGTTCGCGTGCTCTTCATCCAACTGTTCCATGCGGCTCTGAAGCTGATCTTGCAATTCCCCACGTAACCTAGCCTTGGCTTGCTGGAAGCGCTCAGTGACGGCGGCTTCTGCCTCGGGATTCAGTGCTCCCTGAAGAAACCCAACGAGTTAAATAGGTTAGTAACTCCCTAAACCATCACACAAGCGGCTGATGGCTGTTGTTAATAAATGCTAAATGCTCATCATTGCCCAAAAGCTAAGGGCTCCTTCATACCAGGGATCAATTTAGGTTCCTGGGAAACTGTGCACCTACCCCTCCCCTAAGCCAACATTAATACTCATTTCTCACTTATGGCAAAATGTTGGCTTGGGGGAGGGATAGGTGGGCAGTTTCCCAGAAACCTTTTTTTCTGGAAAACTGAACACTTACCCCTCAAAAAGCTAAAATCCTACCTGTAGTTCCTCCATCCTGTTGTTATACTTGGTCTCCTCAGTCTGCAGTTTATCAAAGAAGCGGGTGATGGCATCAGCAAAGCGTTTATGAGCAGTATTATGACTTTCTTCTTTCTGTCTCTCCAAGGCATCAAACATGGTCAGAACAGCTACAATATCAGGAGGCAAGCCGGCCGCGTGATCCACTGAGGCTTCTGTTCGCCGCTGGACTTCACGATGAGCAGCATCGGCCAGGGACACGGTTTCTATGGAAACAGTTTTATTTGAGTTAAATTCATCACAATAACAAGGAGGGAACTGACAGAGTTTATAAAAAAATAACAATTGAAAAGAGGGGGAAGATCTTTATGCTTTGTACTAACATCATGCGCTAGTAACCTTGTTTGACGGGCTAATACTTGAGGCGTATTAGTGGAAGTACGAATACGCTCCATACACCAGTTCTAGAAAGAAACAAGTCACTTACCCTCTTTTATGTTCTCGAGTTGTTCATGTACTTGATAAGCTGTCACGTGTTCATCCTCCATCAGCTGTCTGTATAAGTTAGCCTCCACTTCAGTCAGTTCATCTTCACGATGTCGCTGCCGACGCCAGAAACTACGGCGGCCTGCCAGTTCCTCCTCCAACAGGGCAACCTACACATCACAAGCAAAGGTATAATCAGGTTCAACGAGGAAGACGCGAAACGCAGATATATGAGAGGTGAGGCACTACCTACATATTTAAGGTGGAAACTTCGAAAGCCAGTAAGAGGACATGCAATATCTCCTTGTTTTTATCTCTCTGCATTCAGAAGAGTTCCATACCTTTTTAACCGCCTCAATCTTCCCCTCCCCTTTTGATCTGACACCTTTCACTTCAACACCAAATTTTTAAAAATGCTTTTTGCAATTAATTAAGACTAATATTATTAAAATAAACGAAACACAACGACTAAAAAACGCTTCCTTGTGGTGTCTGAGGAGAGTTGAAAACAGATTTTCATCAATTGATTCGTGTTTGGAAAGCCTAATTACCCAGCCTTGTATGCAACTTCACGACAATCTCATTCCTTAGTTTCCTGACACCAATCAACGAAAGAGAGAACCTGGGTAAGAGACTTTTGCAATACTTACCGATCCTGGGGGTGGACGTCGCTTTCTCTGAGGACTAGATGAAAGCGTGACAGGCTCTGTCACTCCAAACTCCTGATTCATCTTCACGCCACAGATGGTAGCAAGCGCACCAGTCACGGGGTCCACAGCCTTCTCTCCAATCATAATAGCAACCAATCCTTCACCACCGGGGTCCTCTAGGGAGCCTCCCAAGGGGATCACAGTGTCTGTCTCGTGATTCTTATCGATTCCGAGTATTGGCACATCAAGATCCGTACCTGAGGGGTCTCGCATGGTGGTGCCCACTAGTATGGGGAGCAACTGACCGGTGGCTGAGAACTCGTACATGCCTGGGCTCCCACCACTGTCAGCCAGCAGAGAGCAGCGCTCCTCGCGGCGCATGATGTCATGAACGTTTCGTAGGATGTAGGTCATCACCTTTGAGCGTCCACGCTGTAAATCTTTCTGCGCAGTCTCTAACATGCTGAGTTCGTGACGACCGTCCAAGTCATCTGGACCAGTTACAGCTTCCTTAAGCGCCTCCAGGGCATCTAGAACGCGGTATTCATAGTACAGCTCACCAACATCTAAGACATATTGGTATCCACCTCCCATTGGCTCCAGTTCCCTCTCTTGTCCATCATCCACCAACCTGGCACTAGTCACTTTTAGAGGTCTACCAGAAAGAGGCTCCGTGAAAGAATCACCGAGCAGGACCGGAATTTCGTCACCTCTATCTGAATCTCCTGGAGTACCACCCAGAGGAATAACATTACCTGTCCTAGGGTCAATGGTGACTCCTACAATGGGTGCTGGGCGACCGGTGTTTGGATCAAGCATCACGGAACCGAGCTCTATAGCAACCGGAAGTCCAGTGATTGGGTCGGGATGGCAACCACCAATTGGATACGCATTGCCTGATGTAATAGAAAAATAAATACACGATTATTATAGTAGATATCTCTTTCAAAGCCCCAGTTCACTGAATATTTTATGTGACGAATTTTTTAATTTTCACTTTTGGAAGTTATGACGAAGTTTGATAGTTGTTAAAGGGGGGATAATCCTACTTACCGGTTTCGGGATGAATGGTCATTCCCAAAATCGGTGCAGGTAGACCAATCCTTCCACAAATCATTCTTCCATTTAATCTCATATCTCCTCTCTTCTCCACTGGAGTCAGACTTGTCTTCACAGGCACACCAGTCTCGGGATTGTTCGGATACGGGATGTATGGGATAAGTGCCTCTGCTGACGAGGCAGCGTCTGCATTAGTGCTGTCAGCGGTAATTGTGAGACGTGACGCAAGTGGGTCATACGCGACATTTCCTTCAATGGGCATGACACGTCCATTGTTCTGATGAACAAAGAAGTTGGGAGGGACTGGTACGTTAGTGACGTTATCAGCCAACAACATGTTAGCAGTTTGAGGATTGGGTATGAGAAGTCCCGTATGTGTGTCCTGAGAAACGATATCTGTGGCGCGAATCGTTCCATCGCCATTGAACAAGTAATCCAGACCCAGGATCTCTCCTTCAATAGTGCAGAGCCTTGCGCCTGTAACATCACCTAGTAGTGCCCAGGTTCCGCGCCGCTGGCATTCGCTTTGGATTTCCACAGACAACCGCTGGATAATTGCATCGACGCGGCTTCCAACCCTACAAGAGTACATGGAAGATGAATCTAGGGGAAACTTATTATTGTTGTTGCTGTTTTGTTATCACAGTTCTTTTGTCTTAGTTATAACATCGAAATTTGGATGTCCTCAAAACTATTTTAAAACAGCTGGCTTAGACGCATAACGCACTGGCACAAATACGTATCAAGAAAAGAGGATCAAATTCAAAAGCAATAGGTACTGTTTTCTGTTGTAGAATTGGCCATTTTAGTCATTTTTGAAATGGCTTAAACAATAGCGTCTTCACACATGCAAAATTCCGATTCCGCGGTCGCAAATTTTAAACTTCGGCGAGTGTGAAGTAATGAACAATATTCCTCGGGGGGAGGGTAAGAGTTACATTTGCCTCGAAGCGAAACTCACTTAGGGGGAGAGGGTCAAAAATACTGATCGTCACCTTATCGATGATGTGAAGATGGATATGGTACTGGTCAAAATTAGTGAGTGTAAATCTTAGCAAGGCATGTTTGCATCAGGACGACATTAAATTAGAAAAACTTCATGACCGTAAGTAAGGGTGTGAATTAGTTAACCGTCATGGTTCAAAACCATGCCGGCCTTACCTGTGTTCTAACTGATCGTTGAAGTCTCCAGCCATGTCGCCCTTGCCTTTGTTTTCACTGTAACTCTTCAGTGTACGGATGGCTTCTCGCAACGATGCCTCAAACGCCACAAGGTGTGCCTCGCGGGCTTCCTCATCCTCTTCAAGTATGGCTTTCTGGCGCTGTAGGATCTGCTGGAAGTTAAAGCCCAGCTCCTTTCTCCGTTCAAGTTCGGCTTCAAGCTATGAAAATCATAAGGACATGTAAAAACAATTTATTATTTATGCTTGGCTCTGACATGTAATAGGCGGATTTAACATGATCTAGTGCCTCTTCGATCAAACAAGAAAAGACTCCCACTTTACCTCTGATTTCTTGCCCTCAAAAGCTCTCAAGTCCTCCGGCGTTGCCATGGCAGTGCGACCTCGTAAGTTAAGTTTGGCGATCCACAACCCTTTGAGGGATTCGGTCTGTTGATTGATCTTCTGATAAAGTTGTTTGGCCTGATCTTTTTGTCTGGCTATTGCTCCAGTTATATCACGTGATTGCTTCGCTAAAATTCCATACAAGCGACCAGATGTGAAACCTTCCAAATCAACTTGCTGGTCATAATCCCAGAATTCATCCCCTTTCACTTCAGCATCGACTGCAAAATAATAAACATTTATAGTAAGTATATTCTTCTATAATGAAGAGTTTTTAAAGATTTCTACCGAGAAAAAGAATACAAGCTAGAAGTGAGAAACAAAAGTAGGATGATTTTTTTTATAAAGGACACAGACCTGCAGGTCCCTGTTCTTGTAAGGGTCCTTCCAGTGCATATTGATTTTGTGCTTCAAGGTTCCTGTGGTATTTCTTTGCTGGGTGTACTGTGGACCCTTTTGAGGAGTAGTCATCAAAGTTGTATCGCTGCGCTAGCACTCGATAGCGTGGGAATTTGAATGTCACTTTCTTCCAGCCGTGTTTACGGAAGATAAGCTAGGTAGGAGGTAGAAAATAAAACGGAAATAGCGTCAACAGTGGGGAAACAGAGTCAATTATGTCCTGCGTGGCAGGCATTTAAAAGGAAAGCGAAAGGAAAATAAGCACTCTTGCGCCTTTATCCCCCCTTACCCACCCCTCTTTATTCCTTCATCCCCCGCTCTCCCTTGCCTTCCCATTCAAACGACCGCCACACATGCACAGTTAACTATAAAACATGTTATTCAGTTCCATCTCTGGAGTCTATCCACAGACGTCTGACACTGTGGGTGATCATTAAAATGAAACCCCTTCAACCGTGCTTTCAAACAGTTGCATTTGTTTTTCACTATTTTACAAAACTGAATTTAAGATTTAAATGTTTTATCCCTCCCCGAAGAAGTAGTAGGAGGGTTGATCACTAAAACCTACCAAGCCAATCAGGAGAATGAGCATTAACAGACCAAAGCTTCCCAGCATGGCACCAATCAACACCCAGTCGGGCATAATAACAATATCCCTGGAGATAGCAATACCATTCTGAATCACAACACGTGGCGTGGTAGAGAAGAACGGACCATCCTCGGCGCACTGTGCTCCTTTAGCCATAACACGTACAAGCTGAAAGAGAAAAAAATCGCCCAGCAAGATTCAATATTTATGGTATAAATCCAGTCATTTGATGATCTTCCGGTACGTGTCGTTCTGTGACTGTCGCTCCAAAAGCGTTTAGGGGAGTCAGCATTGAGTCAAAGTGAGCTGTATATAGTCAATTGATAGTACTAAACTATAAATAGTGACATGATTCACCAATTTGTGACGTTATTCTATTAAATATAAAGATCGTAATGATTCACAGCCTACACTTTGGTTACGTGACAATAATCCACCTTGCAATGCTAAAAAAGAGCGGCGATGGAAATTAAAGTGTAACGATACAACCATCTCCCAGCATAAGTAGGGTATTACACTCACCATTGCACTTTCTGGATTTTTGCTTGAAGTAAACACATAAACACCTTCCTGATCGAACTTGTAAGCAAATAACTCAAATTTCGTAGACTCAAGCTGATGTCTTTCCTCCAAAGCCCTGAATGGTCCATCGTCAAATGACGGGTTGGTGTTATAAAGACTGTCTTTATCATACTTGGGGTAATCCGAGTTTGACACCTTCCAGATCATGTGAGAACCAAGTGTAAGACACGTGGTCGGATTGCTGACGCCTCTATATGATAGACTGGACACCGCTCGGCGACGCCTTGAAGAGGAGGAGTTACTGACGCCAGCTGAATTTTGCTCAACAGCATTATCGAAAACGTCCACCATGCCATTATAATCAGGATCGTAAGCACCAAACGTTAATCCGTCTGTAAATCAGTACTTAAGAATTAATGCTTATATTAAATAATTTTTTTAAATTGCTTTTCTCGCCCTTCTTACAGCATTTGAAAGAATACTGAATAAAGACAGAGTTCAAGGAATTCCTCTAGGCTCTTTTATGGATGGTAAGTGTGAAAGACCATTTCAGACCAGCTTTCCTTGAGAGGTTTAGATGAACCAAGTTGTAGTATACGACTGCATAAAACAACTGATACCCAAAAAGCCAAAAACGAAGGGTTGTGCTGACGTACGATTTTTCTTTCAAGCGCCTGCAACGCAGACAAATTAACTTAGCACCAGATAGCCTGTTCACGTTTCCCTATATTCCGGTAAGATTGTCGAGATCGAGCGCTTTGCGTTACAGGCGACCATTCTGGATGAGTGTCAAATCTATTAAGTAGGCGGGGGACGGGGGCGGTGGACGGTTTGGGAGGAGGCGAAAAAATAGAGGTCTACCCTATCACAAAATTTTCACTTTTAAGATCATAAAACTATTTTCTTTACAAATTGAAAACAAGGTAATAATTATTGACCTTCCATGACGGTTATGCTGACAGCAAAGACGCTACCATCCTGACAGTCGAACGCTTCTGCGAAGTTCGGAACATTTGAGAAGTCTGATAAGTTGTAAAACCTCTGTTTAAAAAAAAAAAGGAGAGATAAAGTTTGAATAATAGTGCTTGTATTAATGCACTGCTTTCGAAAAAAAAAAAGAGTAACAAGGTTCATGTGTTAAGCCAGCTCACTCTCATTTCAAAGGCACATAAATGTTCTTAAAGCCACAGGCAGCCCACGCTCCTAATTAACTCAGTAAGAAAAACTGTTTTACACTAAGCATAATAAAGGTATCGAAGAAATAGCAAAGAGTCGTTAGTTTTGGGCTTCACTGGCTGGTTTGAGGCGACTTTGCCGAGTAACCGGGGGGGGAGGGTTACTTGGCTTGGAAATTTCTCAACACCTGGTAAAGTTTTACCTCTACGTTATCTGGTGATGTGATTTTCAGCTTAGGTGGATCTGTACAAATGACAGATAAGCGATACTTCTGTTGATTTTTACACTCTCTGTCACAAATATCATCTGTGCTGGTGACACGGCATTTGCATAAAGCAATCTGACTTCCGACAAATCCAACAGAACCGGAAGGGCATTTCGACTGTGAAAAGTAAAATGAAAACAGTAGATAACGTTTTTGAAGGTGCAATTTATAGGGCATGGAACATTCAATAAGCTGTACAACAAGGTGGTTCTAACTTTTAAGTCTGAGGATGAAATCCCAAAGCGTGACCATTCAAATGAGCAGTTTTACCCCCCCCCCCCGGTTTGGGTTATTTATTTCCCTGGGGACTAAGTGATCCGCCCAAGGGGGGAGGGCCCTGGGGACTAAGTGCTTCAAACCCATAGAAAAGACGATGGTATCAGTTCTCCATAAAGAACTATAATAAAAAGTGGAAAAGCTCAAGTACAAGGAGTTGGAGGTCATGCAGCCGAGGATCAGAAAAAAGTCCGAACTTGCAGTTGGTGAATAAACCACCCCGTATCATTCCCGATGACATCTTACAGTCGTTATTGATTAATACTGTCTATCATTTATTAGTGAAGAATAAGTAGGGGAAGGGGCTTAACATCCTCGGAGACCCAGGGGCAGATAGTGGGGGCGAGGGAAAGTCTAAACGGGCGGAAAAATGTGGCACGAAGAAAAGTAAGGGACGGCGAAAAGAGCCCCTGGGGACAATGTCTTACCAGACCAGTTCCAAACGGTCGCCGCCGTTCTGGCTTCTGATTGGTGCCAGAAAACTTGTGTTTTTCTTTACCAATCAGAAGCCAGAACGATGAGTGTCAGCCGTCGTGCCTCCGGACAGAGAAACGACGGGGCAGATAGTGGGGTCGAGCGGTAATCTAAACGGGCGATAAACTCTATATGGACCGTTGATAAGTAAAGATGGGCTAGTAGAGGCCCTGGGGGCAATTTCGTACCAGACGAGTTCCATACGGTCGACGCCGTTCTTGCTTTTGATTGGGAACGTACAACACAAGTTTTCTGGCACTAATCAGAAGCCAGAACGGCGGCGACCGTTTGGAACTGGTCTGGTAAGACATTGTCCCCAGGGGCTCTTCTCGCCGTTCTTTACTTTTCTTCGTTCCATATATATTTTTTCGCCCGTTTAGACTTTCCCTCGCCCCCACTATCTGCCCCTGCGTCTCCGAGGATGGGGGCTTAAAAGAGAGGGGGCATATTAACTTCCTTCCCCTGAAAAAAGGGGGTATTAGAGAGAGGGGGTTTATTTGAGAGGGGGGTGGGGCTTAATGGAGTATTTACGGTATTTAAAAAGTTGAAGAACATCTTGATTCCATTCACTCTACGGCATTTTAAAAAACTTACTGTACTACTGCAGTAATCCATCCATTGTGTTTCATTCCAGCAATTTCCTTTATCATTTCGCCATGTATCTTCACCGCATATGCCGTAAGTTTTTTGCTTACAATCTAAGCTGTTACTGATCTCTTCGTAACCATCCTCGCATTCGCACGATCTTTGTGATGGCTGAAAACAAAAAAAAATTACATTGTAAGTTCCTTTTACAGGTGAGAAATTCTCCTACTGCTTATGAAATATTTGAGACTAGTCTAATTCGTGTAAAAGAACTCGGAATTCTGTAGGGTCAGCTAGTTCAAAGTGATCAACCACCTAAGTATGGCATATTTCGCTGACTGAATTCAAAGTTGTTCGACACAAAACATGACCTGTCATCACTGATTTTTCTCGTACCTTGAAAACACGGTTTAGTCCGGTGCAGCTACAAGTGTCGCTACCTATCTCCTTCGCTTTAGCGTCACCGCAGAACTTGCATTTATCTCTACCGATCTCGTCATTAAAGTAATTTGTATCACAAGGTTTACACTGTCCCTCGTGTTCCGCACCGAGGAGGTCATTGTAAGTTCCATTCTGGCAGGGTCTGGGTTGCAAGTCTCCTTTCTCGCAGTAGTGTCCCGTTGGACACAGGTAGCTGTTGGTGTTGTTAACTCCAAATGATGATTCATTTTTGCCAGGGAACTCTGAAGTTGCTCCTAACAAGGAAGAAAAGAATGTTGCTTCAGGTTAAAATGACGACAACAGAACCAGTTCAGTCTTAACAGTACCGCGGGATATGATTACTTAGTAGTTTTCCTATCCATGGAAACTCCTGGATTTCACCCAAAGATTCAAAACATACAATACTGAATCTTATTCCGCGTAATAAACAGTACCAGTGGAAAGTTCTGCTCAGTAGCTTTCATTTGAGTGGTCACANTTACTTCGAGTTTTGATTGGTTCAATGTATTGTCTGTGTCCTATGTGATTGGCCAGAGTAATTACTTTGGTTTTGGTTTTACGACACTCAAACGAAAACCACTCTAAACAGCAGCGTACACAGCTTCACTATGAGGAAGATTGGGGAAGGTCTGTTGTTGAGTCAGTTTGGGTATTGATACCGTATGGTAACCGACAAACCACTTGCGCAACTAAGTTCCCATTTGTTGCAGACGGGGATGTTGCTTGACAAATTCTTAAGTACCGTAAACGATCTAATAAACGCCCACTCTCAAATAAACGCCTCTTATCTAATAAACGCCCCCCTTACGCTGTTAAGTTAGTATTAAACGCCCCTCTCTTATAAACGCCACCCTTGAAAATTGCCCCCAAATACTAGGAAATGGCGAAATCGAGCAAAATCAATCAATTTATTAATGTCATTGCTTGATTAACATCAGTTTGTGTATTATGTCATGTTCAATTTCGAGATAAGCCGTCAGCCCGCGGTCGAGATTCTGTAAACACAAAAACGTTTTTAGCCGAAAGCATACTGTATACAGTTATGTTGAGTTCGTTAAAATAAGTTACGACAATAAACGCCTCTCTCTTTTAAACGCCTCCCATCTATTTAACGCCCCCACTTGGACCCCAAAAATTAAATAAACGCCCCGGGCGTTTATTAGATCATTTACGGTAAACAAGGAGCATATACAAACCTTCCAAACATATAACGCCAGCTCTGCATATTTCACAAACTGAACGATTTGTATGATTGCCAAAGGAACCAGGTCTGCAAATTTCGCACGTCTCATTGAAATTTAATCCCTTGGCGCCATCCTTATGTCTGTAACCTGTTAATAAAGCGATTTAAAGGTTATCTCTTTTTTGTTTTACCACAAAATAGAGAGAAAAAAATGATGGCGACGGAAACGTTTTTTCCATTTTCAAGGAAGAGTAACGTGTGGACGGCTTTAAAAACCGTCAATAAAAATTTTAAATGTAAATGCCGAGAATGTAAAAACCAAGGATAAAAAAAATTAAACGTACATGTGGAGGCATTTCCAAACGAAAGAGGTAAATGCAAATTGAGAGTACATACCAAGAGGGCAAATCTTGGAGTAACAAGCACCCGCGTCTCTATGTATGGAATCGTTATAGCAGTTATACAATGGGTCGCAATAGTGTCCCTCTGGACAAGGAATGGGCGCGGGTGATGCCTTAGGACAATAATATCCTGCAGGGCAGGGTAGCTGAGTCCGGGCCTTGTCACAGAAATATCCTGCCAGGCACACAGTAGGAGCAGTTCTACCCGGTGGACAGAAAGTGCCATCTTTACATTCATAGCCCCAGAAACTGCTATTGGACAGTGGACAGAAGCGACCGGCAGGGCAGAGGTGACAATCGGAAATGTTTCGCCCTCTGGTAGTATTTCGGAAGGTTCCATTTGGACATGGGATTGGGCTGTCTGTGGCATTAGGGCAGTATTGACCCACTGGGCATGGAACTGTGGTGTAGTCTGAGATACCTGTTGAGAGAGACGGAAGTATGTAGATCAATTTTATAAACACTTGGTAATAAGGTCGTCACCTAAACAAATTTCTACTGAAAAAGATCAATGACCCCTTTATCGCTTAGCCTTTGACTCATTTATGTCATTGTAGGCCGCAGTTGCTATAGGTCTTCCCCGACCCTCCCGTGAAGTAATGTATGGCATTAAGGGCGGTTACGTCACACGCAAGCAACTACTTTGACCTCCATTATTTTAAGACCCAGATGTTAGGTCAGGTGTGATTTGCATCCTCTTCCTGTGGTTTCAGAGTGTAACGCTTTACTAACTAATCTAAAAGGCGGCATGCTTTGTTAAGGGATCAACCTCTTACCTTCATACCAGCAATAGTAACCAGCAGGACAAGGATGACAAAAACTGATATCAGTTGCACCAGACACGTTATTAAACGTGTACAACGGACAAGGCCTTTTTGTATCATTAAAGGGACAATAGTGTCCCTTGGTACAGTCCTCAGGGATGGAGCTTCCCGGGCTGCAGATCTTGCCAGCGGGGCAGGTTTGACACTCTGACTTTGAACGTGCTCTCTTGTATGGGATCACCAATCCTGGTTCACACTTTAGAGGTTCATGAGTTCCAGCTGGACAATAGTAACCAACTGGACATTCATCACCGATAGTCTTGTTGGAGCCATCTGGGGTTGGCGTTGGATTTCCAATGTAACATAAGTAACCTGCTGAGCAGTTATCAGCAATCACACCAAGTTGACAGTAATGTCCAACATCGCACGGCTTGCACTGATCCACATCACTGAGCTTGGAAGCATTTACATCTGTAAATGTTCCATTAGGACACACAACTGGTGTATGGGTACCGTTTGGACAGTAATGATGACCTGGGCAAGGTATTGGACTGGAAGTGTTTCCTCGGCAGTAATAACCCTCTGGACAAACATCGCATGATGACTGATGAATTCTTTCTTGATAGGTCCCTGGATTGCAGCCGTATGGGTTAGCTGTGCCATTTGGACAGTAATGTCCTGTTGGGCATTGGAAGCGACTAGGATATGGTGTGCGAATGTCTTCTTCAGCTGGACAGTAGTATCCTGCAGCACAGTGACTTGTTGCAACAAGCAGACCTGGCTGAAAGCAATACTTTCCTCCAGTACAAGGTAAACAATCATTGCGAGACTTGGCACCAGGGTAGGGTCTGAGAGTTCCTTCTGGGCACATGGTGCCATTTGTTGTTCCTTCCTCGCAGTAATATCCAGGAGGACAGGGCCCGTTGTAAGCATCACTTGTGTCATTTGGAGCATCAAAACTTGCCCCACCTCTGCAAAGGTATCCTGCCCGACAAGGACCTGTGACATTTGCTTGTCCAGGAAGTTCACAGTACTGGCCAGGAGGACAAGGAAGACACTCATTGAGATACTTTCGATATCTGTTGGGTTGATAGGTTCCGTGTGGACATGGATTACCATTAGGTAGTTTAATACTGCCTGGGCAATAGTGACCAGGAGAGCATGGTACGGGGTGTATTATAGTCGTATTTGGACAAGTGTAGCCAGCCAGACACTCATAGCATTCATCAAGGCCTTCAATTGGACCATAAGTACCTATCGGACAGGGCTTCTCAACTGCTGTTCCCTTAGGACAGAAATGTCCTTGGGGACACACCTTTCCTTCATAACCATCTGTTGGCCGTGGGGTAGTCGAACCTTGAAGGGAAAACAACAAAAATAAATAAACTAGGTCATTTAATAACAAAAAATACAACAATCAGATATTACATTCTCATTTTTGTTTGAGGCGCAATGGCGTACTTGGTCTTTACCAAACACATTACCATCGCTTTACCAAATTGATTTTTAGACTTTTCTCGAACATTTGTCACACTTCTCTTAGTACGTTGTACACTAACTTACCCAAGATACAAACAAAGCCGGGATCGCATTCTCTCTCCTGAACAATGGTGGCATTTGGATCACAGTAATATCCTGGGCTGCAAGGCTTGCAGTCTGAAACATTCTGATTCCTCTTCGAGTTTGCGAAGGAGCCTCGTGGACAGGGCGTGGGAATGTAGCTTCCCTCAGGACAGTAGTGTCCAATCGGGCATTCTGCATAAGCTGGGTTAGGAACTGTGGCATTGCCACTGCAATAGTATCTAGGAAGGCACAATCCTTCTGGTTTTGATAATCCTTCTGACTGACAATAATACCTACAAAAAACGTGTAAAAAAACCGTGTCACCATCTCATCTTTATCACATGTAAGGGTTGTTTCAATCTGCTTTAGGGAGCAAATTGTCTGGTCACGATGGCCCTTTAAGTATTGATAAAGAAAAGAGCCCCACGAGCCTTCAGTTTTACTTATTCCTTATGGCATAGAAAAAGAAGCTACGCCCAAATGATGAGATGTTTACAACAGACACCTAACTTGACATTTTAGATGAAGCAACTAACAATATTGCCACTGTGCCTTGTGTGACAATGTATATTTCATTCTAGTGTACTTAGTTCAGCGCGAAACCAAATTGAAATAAATAGATGGTTAAGCTGGGCTTTGGTTCATCGCTTCCTTTTTACATGTGAGTGGATAAAAACAACGAGAGGAAAAAATTTAGAGAAACAAAAACACAACAGGAAAGCACAGGGATATTTCTAAGGTGCTTTTTATAATGCTTTTTTTTTCTTTTTCACATTTGAAATTCAACCTTGTCGTCATGAAATCATTCACACATACGTGCATCAGGAATAGTTTTATATGACACCACTGCTTTCGTCTATTTTACAGCTGATTTCTGTAGTTTGGTTAAGCTTTATGTTGGGCAGTCCCAAGAGCGAAGGAGTTCATCTTACCTGGGTGGACAGTCAGTGCACTGGTCAGCTCTTTCAAGCCGAGTCTTGTTACTCCACGTACCAGTAGGACACTTGTACTGAGTAGAAAAAGATGTCCCTGGGGGACAGAAGTGCCCTGTTGGACACTCATATCCTGTTAAATTGCTCACAGCAACATTAGTGTTATCACAGTAGTATCCTGGTAGGCACTCATCGCACACATGTGAATATTGGTCACTTTCATATGTGCCATTTGGACAGCGCTTTGGCAGTGGTGAGCCCTTGGTACAGAAGTGTCC